AAAACAGTTGAAAGCTCTGGATTTTGCAATTTTGTATCATCTGAAGTTTCTTTGGGGATGGATTTTAAAGCTTTGAATGAATGTTTCTGTCTCAAGATAGTACTTCCAAAATGTTTATGGAAGGCTTTTAGTTGCCTCATGGGAAGGCTTAGAGAGGAGAGTGGGACAGGGCTGTCTTTTCCTTTGCTTTCCAGTTCCTGCGTTGGAAGTCAATTGTGTAAGAACAGGGGCTGCCTTGTGGGGTGGTTGTCTAGTAACATGTTCGTTAAAGGAAGTTAAAAGATACCAGCAAAATATTCAGATTTTATATTAAAGGTGAGATGTGGGCACACAGAATATCAGTAGCAATTCGATGGGCCAAGTGAGTGTGTGATTTTTGGAAGTGGCCCTTACAAAGTCTGGGTCCCTGCAGAACCTCATGGTGTGCTCCAGATGTGTTTCTGGAGCAGATGTCTGTAACAACATGTCCTTGGCTGATTTTTTTCCTCAGCTGTGAGACTTTAATCTTCACTGTCACCCTCTGGATGTGTACTTGGTTAGGCAGCAGCTGTGATGTGCTTTCCAGGGTCAAAGAGCTTCCAAATGAGAGATGCTGTTGCCCTCTCTTCCCTTTTCTGAGTGTCACATCACTGAGCTGCATCCACCTGAGCTGAGCATCCTGAGGTGTGTGTGTGTACCGAAAGGAGCAAAGCCCAGCTTTGCTGACAGTGAACCTTCAGGGTGAGCCTCTGTTCAGAGCGCAGCTTGTGCAAAGCAGCTTAGCAAGGTGTCATTTAATTGAACTGCTTGCTGGTTTGTGCAATTGCCTTTTGCAGTGTGACTTCTTATAAAATACTTCAGCAGTCTCTCTTGGTGCAGAATTAAGTTTTGCATAATTGTCTTCGTGCTGAATTTTGAAGCTTTTTTATCTGGCTGCAAGTAAAATACCGAGCTATTCTATGTGCACACAGCAAGTGAACAGCTGCTGTGAGATTACCAGAAGCTTATACAGATCTTCCAGCGTTATAACGATTGCAGCAGTCTGTACAGATCTCCTCCGCATAGCTGTCTGAACTGGCTTTGTGTCTTGTTGCTTTCATGGACTGCTCAGCAGTGCCTGACTGGAAGCATTCCTCCTGCTGCCCTCCCTAGGATGCTTCTGAGTTCAGCTGTAGATCAGCTGAGTAATTGTGTGTTCACTACATCCATTATGAGCAAGGATCAAAACTACTTGTGCTCAGGAAAGGGAGTAGTAAACCAAAAGGTGCCAAGGGAATTGTATCTAATTGTTGTATTAAAATGTGGAGAGCAAAATAATGGAGGGTGAGTACAGATTCTCAGGGGTCCACAAAGTGCTGTCTGCGACAGGTGAATCTAACTTATTGCCACTGACTGCAGTGTCCCTGTCCTGGTTCATGCGAGGTAACCAGCAGACCTGTGCAGCGTATGAGACCTCCTGCTGTCTGATAATGTCATTAAATGGGGAGAGCAGACGTGCCCCAGGAGGAGAGGTGATTTAATGGCTTTACACTCTGCCCGTTTAATCATTGGGTGATGTTTATCTCTGCTGGAGTCCCTCTTGCCTTGCAGGCAAGTTCCTGGCTGGGAGTGAGTACTTTGGTTAGGGGTGGATTTTCTTCCTGCTGTCACTGCAGGGTGCCTGGGATATTGACATCCTCTCTGTCCCCTGCTTGCTTTCTGCAAGCTTGTCTGCAGCCTGACATGTTTTCTTACTGGAATAGAAGCAGGGAAGGCCCTGCTGAAGAGCTGCAGCCCCTCTGGTAGCTGGGAAGAGCTCGGAGAGCTTGTCATAACTTCCATCTTCATGGCCTAACCTTGAACTAGTCAGCTCGGGCTGCACCTGGGCAATAGAGAGCTGGCTCCCTGCTCAGTCAGCAGGGCCATGCAGACCAGGAATTTCAGTGCTGCATCAGCTGCAGGTTCCCATGAGCGGCCGTGTCCGGCCAGCCAGGCTGCTCTGCCCTCCTCCCTGGCACCAGGCCGCCCTGGCCTTTGCTTGCTGTCTGAGCCTCCCTGCCTGCTGTCACATGGTGCGTGACAGTCACTCCCTTGGTTTGGGTACCAGTGGGCTGGCACCCCGCAGACTGTTCCCTCGCCACCTGTTGAGCTGGCAGTGGTTCCCAGAGGCTGTGGGAGGCTGTTGGTCATAGGCAACACAAGCTTGGGTAGCCATGGGAAGCCAGCTGCTGCGTAGATGGCATCAGCTGCTAAGGCCTATTTCCAGAAATGTCAGTGTCCAAAGCCTGGAGCCACAGTGCTAGCACGTGGAAAGATCCCACTCAGATTATGTATTTAAAAATAAAAAAAAAGCATTAGAGAAAACCCTTTCTAAATTTGTTCCTGGCAGATGAAGGAGGTGAAGAGTTCCTCTTCTGGCGAGGAGCTGCTCTGCACTCCTCGGTGGGGATCACCTATTTAGGGAATGGTCTGTAACAGAGAAGAAGAATGCTGGGATTTCTGCAGGACTTTTTTGGTAGTAGAGTTTACTAGGGAATAAATTAAAACGTGGAAGGGCTGACTATAAAGCATTGCTGGAGTCATCATGTGGGTATATACACTTAAAAACAAAATACAAACATCCAGAATCTAGTTTTGCTCCAGAGTTTTAAAACAGAGTCTAACTCAGATCATGCCTTAGCTCAGCATGTTCATGGAACCAAAGAATGGTTTGGGTTGGAAGGGACCTTAAAGCCCACCCAGTTCCAACCCCCAGCCCTGGGCAGGGCGGCCCCTGCAGCTCAGCTGCCCAGGAACCCATCCCACCTGACTCTGAGTGCCTGCAGGGATGAGGCACCACAGCTTCTCTGGGCAGCTGTGCCAGGGCTCACTGCCCTCCAAGTAAAGAATTTCTATCTAAATCTCCCCTCTTAGTTTAAAGCCATTCCCCCTTGTCCTATCACTGTGTTCTCTGGTGGGGCTCCAGATGTTGTCTGTGTGCTTTTTGCAGTGGGGGCAGGAGGTGGTTACCCAGAAGGTGACAGATAGGTTTTCTGGGTGACATCTGAGGAGATCAGCATCCCTCAATACTGATTTTTGGCTGTGTAGCCCCATGGCTGGGCCCTGGTAAGCTGCTTTGACTTGTATCAGGACCAGGATGTGGAGGACACCGAGCTTTCCTCTCAGCTGCCTGTGCCCTCTCCTCCTCCGTGTTGTGTCAGCACTGTGCTGTGCAATTTACTCCCTGACTCTCCATCCTGCAGTTACAGGCCCAGCTCAGAAATGTGATTGCAGCCGTGGTGTCAGCGTGTCATTGCCTTTTGTTTGTTACAATACAGCTCTAGTAGGGCAGAGCAGAAAGGAAAAGAACTAATAATGACACACGGGCGGAGGGGAAGCCAGTTTGCTGTGCATTTCATCTCGGGTGGGGACTCTCATTAAGCAGTCCCTTGGCAGAAGCAACCTGTACCTAAAGGTTAATTTCCACAGCAGTTGTTGCTGGGTTGTTTGATGGCGGGTAATTTCCATCCTCAAAGGAGCCTTTTACTCCTACCCAGCGTTTAATGAGATTAAATTGCAACTTCTGCAAGGCCTGGTGGCAGAAATGTGTATGTGTGGCAGGCGGGTGCCGCGCTTTGTGTGGGCTCAATAGAAGGGCGCTGGGGAGCGAAAGAAAACCCTTTCATCATGAAGGGAAAATAGTGGCAATGTTTGAATGCTTCATATGTGTTAATAAAAGATACTGCTTTTTCAGTTACACGGATTGATAAATACAATGGGCTTCTGTAAGAAACTGTCTGTAGGACAAGTTACTGTAATGTGACTTTGATAGATGCAGGATGCTCCTTTTAAGGCCTGGAGCAAGGTGACCTAAATGAGATGAGAGTGGGCCGAGTTTCCAGTTGTCACAATTGCTGTGGTAAAAATGTTTGAGTATGTGAAATTCAGCAAGTGTTGGGAGGATGATGTACCCCAAATGTGCTGAAGTGTGCCGCAGCTGTTCCTCATCACTGCACCTGCCCTGCCTGGGGCCAAGAGGCCTTGTGGGCTTCAGTGCCTGGAGCTGGGGTTCAGCTGTCCAGGATTAGCAGCAGGGAGCTGTGCAGACTCGGCACTGATGCAGACCCGCTTGTGTGAGGGAATCTCTCTGTCCTTCCCCCTCTGTGAGGGTCACTGATGTCCTGAGGAAACCACCTGGGCCAGCACGCAGCTCCCATCTGAGCTCATACATTGCTGTCAGAAAGCTTGGCCCTCGGCCACTTGCCCTGGTGCATTTGGAACGGCCAGCCAGCAGTTCAGGGACAAATTTTGCTTTATAAAGGTTTGTTCTTGGTCATATGTGTCTGTGCTAATCTGAAAACAGTAATTGTCAACCCAGAAGCTTGTCTTTATCTCAGCAGCATATTACATATATGAAACCGGTCTTGTATGAGGAGTGGCCAGACTGAGGGTCATATTGAAAGCCAGATCTGTAACTGTAGAGAGGATTCTGATCTGTTTTTACTGCTTAACGGCTGCAGAGATGTGTGAAAATGAGGATAAACAACCTGAGTCTTACCAAGTGTCAACAGTTCCCTTTTGGTTTTGGTGTCAGATAAAGGGGTTCCCAGGGATTTGGGGCAGATGCTCTCCTCCAGCATACTGCACTGAGTGCTGTCATTGTTGCTTTGTTTTTCTGTTCTTCTCCACAGGCATGGTAGAGTCAGGCCCTTTCCTGCCTCAACAATTGAGTCTTATTCTCCAAACACTAAAACGGGCTTTGGTAATATTGACAATTGCTGGGGTACACTGAGAATACACTTGTGTTTGCATGGGTCCTGGCAGTGAAAAACTGTTGGAGTCTCACAGCTGTAATGTGGTACTCCCTTCTCAACTCCGTTTTTGCCTTGACTCAGTGCACAGATACCTAACAAATGGGCAGCCCTCTGTGGAACGATTCCCCATCAGCTTTAAAACCCACTTCTCAGGGAACTATTTTCATCATGTGGTGCTTGGGATTTACTGCAATGGCCGGTATGGATCACTGGGCATGAGCAGGCGCTCGGATCTAATGGACAAACCTCTGACTTACCGAACTCTGAGCGATCTCATCTTTGAATTTGAAGACTCCTATAAAAAATATTTGCATTCAGTCAAAAAAGTCAAAATTGGATTATATGTTCCACATGAGCCACACAGTTTTCAGCCCATTGAGTGGAAACAGCTGGTCCTCAACGTATCCAAAATGATGCGCACAGAAGTCAGGAAGGAGCTGGAGAAGTTTGCCAGGGATATGAGGATGAAGGTAGGTCCGGTGCCTGGTTTTAGTTCCAGGATCTCTCCTTCAGCCTGGGAAACACTGGAACCTCACACTCTCCCCTGGCTGTTGAGGGGTCAGCACTCAGATTGTTCTCAACATGTTTTCTAGCTCTGGATGAGGGTGGCCAGAGGAGGCCATTGGGGCTGATGTTTCTGTACAGCTCCAAATCAGGCAGGTTTGGTGTTACATAAGGGCGGATGCCTGCAGCACAGGGAAATGGGCCTTTCCTCTATCTGCTGAGAGGTGCAAGTCTGTAGAGGAGCATGATGGCAATCCCCGAGGTATGCAAGCATATGTTGAGGAGAGTCGCTTCTCCATGTAGGGCATGCTTCCCACCACCCATGCTTCAGTCACGAGGTGGGTGAGGTGGGGAGGGAAGGAAAGCAAACCCTTGGCAGGACCAAGGGAAGCACAGGGAGAGAGGGCTGGCTGCCAGAGGGCTGCAGGGTTTGGCTGCCCTTGGGGTAAGGGGTGTCCCTGAGCATGCTGCCAGCATGGCTGTGGGCAAGAAGCCGGTCACAGCTAGGGCAGAAGGGGAGCTGGGGCCCCTCCAGCCTTCTGCTGGCAGCAGGAGCTGAGCAGGTGCATTGCTAAGTATGGGGCTGGCTCTTTTGGAGTGGTATGTGAGTTATTCTGGGTTCCCACACCCTTCCCTGCTGAGGAGTGGCTCATACATGGCAGCTATGTGCCTTTTTGGTAGGGGCTGAGGCAGCTTCCCTGCCCCCTGATGGAGTACTGCTGCTGACGTTGGTGGCAGCAGGACAGCCCTCTGCTGTGCTGCCAAGTAGGGCGGGAGGGGTGAGCGATGTCCTCCCTCTGCCTCTGCTGCACATCTATCTTCGGGAGTCCCCTGAGGTTCCCACCGGGACAGTGTGGGCCGTGTCCTTCAGCTGTGCTGCAGCCAGGTGGGCCCAGTGAGCATCGCTGCTATCTCTGTCACTTTGTGCCTGGGGCACTGGAGAAGGAGACAGCAGTGAAAGGCGCTGAAGCCAAAGTGATCTTGCACAGGGCTTTAGAGAAACAGCATGTGGGGCAGTGGCACAGATAGGATGCCATGCCAGCTTGTACCCTGATGTCATCCTAGGCAAATATGCTTGGTTACATTGTAATGAAGTTTTTTTTTCCCTTCTTCTCTATTCATACACTTCTAATACCATCTGGAGAGCAAATCGCTTGAAGTGGGCTCCAGTTAAAGAAGTCCATAGAGGTAGACAGCTTCCTGAACTTAGTGCTTGCTTCTGACAGAGGCACCAGCTCAGTGTTTGTACCAAGCCGTGACACTGTGTCCTGTCCTCAAGGCCCAGACCACAGCCCTGTACACTTGCATTCAGTCAAAAAGGTCAAAATTGAGGACTGAAAGTCCTGCACTGAGCTCTGCCCACGTGAGTAAGGCTGTGCCTAATGCCACCTTGACCTCTTAGTCAGCCACAAGATGACTTAATTCAGAGCTTGAGCCATTTAATTCAGAACATTTACATTGCAAGAGGTCTGATTTGGAGGATTGAGTCTTGAAAACAGCCTGAAGTTCCTCTTAACCTGGGCAACATTTGAATGAACCCCAAGGGATCGAGGGCTTTGTGTGTGCCATCCGTGCTACTGCCCTTCATTTAAGCTTTATTTCTTTATGAATTGTTGCCATCACAGAATGCTTCTCCCTTCCCATCTTCTGCAGATTCTGAAGCCCTCAAGTGCCCATTCTCCCATGAAGGAGAGGTCGCGGGGTAAGTCGCTGTCCCCTCGCCGAAGGCAGGCCAGCCCTCCGAGACGGCCGTTCAGAAGAGACAAATCGTGAGTACTCTTGTGCTGTCACTGCTGCCATTGCTGGCGTATGAAGTTGGGGGTGATGATATATTTATTATTTGACAGCATACAAAATGTAGACACTGGCATTTATAGGAAAACTGTACCAGGATCTTGACTACCTGAGAGGCTCTCCAGGTCAGCAGTGCTGCTTGTCCCGGTGCTGCTGTGGTTACTGGTCCCTGATGGTTCCTCTGTACGGTGCCACTGGAAGCCCTGGTGACACTTGTTTGGTTCAGCTCTATTGGATGTTGGATGGCTGTGGCAGTGAAAGTGTGGGTTCCACCTTTTATTTTTTTTTCGGTTTTTATACAGTACATTTTTGGGAGAAACAAAGAACATATCTTGGGGTGCAGAAGGCCTTTACAGGGAGGAAAGCAGTTTGATCACATTTTGGAGTGTTCAGACATACGTATTAGAAACAGGAGAAGATCTCCTGGTGATGTGGGGTTCTCAGCTATCACTGCTCCAAAAGAAGCTGGATTTCCTGTGAGTAGCACTGATATTGGGCTGCTATCCAGCTTAGAGGATTGTGGAAGAAGTTAGCCTTTCTCTTCTTGCCAAAGCAGAACTAGCTTTCCCATTGTAAACTTTTGATTTAATCGGTTTAAAAAACCAGGCCACTTCATTCATGCTTCGTAGCTATTTGTTTTTCTGCAACTGAGCGGGGAGGAACGGACTGTGACTGCGAGCGATACCTCTAAATGGACAGAAGTGAGCTGCCAGGCCTTTTACAGCCACCAGCACACTCCATACCTTAGATGTGGAAGGGTCACGCTCGAGCTGCGCTGCCTCGTGCCAGGAAGCTGACAACTGCGAAAGCTCACACGTCACCCAGATTAGTCATGCATTTATGATCACCTCTTTTTAAATAGGCTCCCGGACTACTGTCTCAGCACTTATTTATTTATTTGAAAGTGGCTAACAAAGACATTAGGCTAACTTTCTAAAGATAACTTCCAGATAGTTTAGCAGCAGATGATTTCACAGCAGGCTTTTATTTTAACTTGTGAATTCATACTTGGTCCACGATGCTGTGCTTTAGATGTCATCGCTGCGTGCTCCTTGCTTAGTGTGTGAGTAATTACAGTCATGGCAGGCCCTGCTCCCCCCCGGCCTCATCTACTGGGTTCTTTTGGACAGATGAGGTCCCCTCTGGGTTTCTCCTAGTGCAGTACAGAAGTACAATACAGGCACTGCAGCTTTATCTATGGTTGTATGGTATGCTTAGTCAAACCCTACATCTTATCTCATGGGGATGTATAGCACTGGTGCTGAGAGCGGGAGAACAGCAAGAGATGCACTATATGAAGTTTCCAGTGTCCTTTTTTCCTCCCTCTTTTTAATTAAAGCCAGCCTGGATGGTTATGCTTCTATAATTCTCTTCTGATAAGTACTTACAAACTGAGACATGTTTGCTTTTCTATTGTGAGAATAGCTGAGAGCCTGGAATGAACTATCAAATCAAATGCTTCCATAAACTATACATTGCCAGGATTATTTAGGTTTAAGAATGTTGCTGCAGGAGCTTTTCCATTGCATGCTAAGTAGGGGAAGACTGATTGCTCAGTCTTGAAGTTTCATTTGCTTGGAGTTGTGAATATAGTAACAGCATGTGTTTAAGTGAGATAACTGAAGTGAATGGCTTGATAGTACCAATCTATAAGATGCCTGGAAAGCGTAAGGTCTTAATCTCAGGCTTTCTGTTTGGCTGACTCTAGAATTTCATGCAGACTTAGGCAGTGGGAAGGCGTAGGCTGAGACTTACGTTACTGTGTGAGAGTCCTTGCCTATTGACTCTCAGCAGTTTTCACGTTGCTGCAAAAACCAGAGGATGGACAGCTTGTTCTTTGCTGGTGGTGGGCTTTTGTGGGAGCCTACATGAGTAGCTCAGGTTATGCTCATTTATGTAAGAATTTCAGCATGCTTATGCTTGCAGTGAGAAAACTAGATGTAGTCAGCCCTAGTTTGAAGTAAGCTGTACCTGGCTCTACTGGTGCTCTCTGTTCCTGTGCGGCATTGGCAGAATGCTCTCCCCTCCTTTCCTTGTAGGCCTGCAGTGGTGGACAAGAAGGGAGACCTGGCTACGCTCAACGAGGTGGGCTACCAGCTCCGCATCTAACAAAGCCATAGGCTGGACAGAGGGCTTCCTGGGTGCTTCCCACTGCACTTTACCCTCACTCCATTGGAAGGAAAAAGGAATGGGACTATTTATTAACTTGTGGACACTTATAGTAAAGGTTTTATCTAGAAAATAGAACAGAGAGGATTTTTCTTGGTGGCTGTATTTATTTTCATTCAGTTCATGAAAAGGCATCAGTGAAGAGAACTTTCACTCTATCGTGTAGGACATAACAGCAGTTGTATGTGAATTTCTACAAATAGAGTTTTGCTATGTGAGCATTAATTGAATTTGGACATTGTGCTGGGTGGTACCTTTGGGCTGGCTACAACTCATACTCTTAGTATTAAGATGTGCTGGGTGCAGTGTTTAAAAAAAAAATAATCACATTCAGTATTAATAGTCAATTCAGCAATAAAAACAACCAGTGCAGCAGTGGCATGATTTCTTGAAGTGTCAAATTACCTCACAAAACTGAATAGATATGCAAAACTGTCAGTATTATTGTTTTGTAACAAGTTTGTACTGTTTCCCAGCATTCCTGGTAGTATTAAAATGGCACCGGACGTGCCCTGCCACCTCTAGTATTGTTTTGTGCATGTTGCTGAAAGATGTTAAGTAATAGTAATATGCAGGTGTATTCTTAAACACATTTTCTTGGGGAAAAACGAGTTTTTTAAAAAAATAATGATAATTGATTAATAATGAATTTCTAATATTTCATAATTTTTTATACTTTGTCACAAGCTTTTTGTCTTTCTTGACTACACTGCTGAAGCACAAGAAGAAGAGATTGCTGTTTTTGTAGAGACAAGTGTCCACAATAATGGCTTGTTGCTTGTATATGTTATTGCAATCATGGAAAAATCATCCAAATTTGATGAGTCTTAACACAACTCTTTCAAGATTTGTGTGCAACTTTGAACTTTGTCTTTGAAAGGCCAAGTGTTCTCAGATAGTGATGCCTTGACATCTTATATTAAGATCAGACATCACAGGCTGAAGTTAAGCTTCCGCTGTGCTGCCGAGGGAATTTCTCTTGTATGCATCGTAATCACAACTGCTTAGTCAGACCTGAATAAGGAAGCTTGTATTGGAACAAGTTCAGCAATAAAATATATTGAGTGTCTGAAATAGCCAAGAACCAGGCTTGTCTGCTTCTTCCTTCCTCTGCCCTTCCACTGTGAGACTTGGCTAAGGACCTGTGATGGATGGCAGTGCTCACAAGTGACGTGGTAAGAGACTTTCATGCCTTTCATATGAATGAAGTTCTCTGGAAGCATTTGAGCGCTGCATTCCTGAAAATATTTCATTAGGTGCCTACGTAGAAACTGGATTATTCCAAGCATCCAGCCTCTACCCTTTGTGCTGTGCTTATGGATTATACTGCCATGGGCCTTGTGTACCTCCTCTTCTGGGCACGCACTAGTTTTGGAATCTCATAGAAGACAGGACATTCTAACGCAATGATAGTAATACTGAATGAAATGGAATGATATAAGCTCCTAGAACCCTTCCTGCATCAGCAAGGAAACGAATGAAAACAGAAGGAAATGAGTGCATGTAGCCAAACCTCACTGCTTGCTCAGAAGAGTCAGTGAACTCATCTCCGTAGGACAGGAAGCCAACAGAGACCCAGCAAGCTTCTACAAACAGCAGAATGCTCTTCGGTAATCATTCTTCATGAGGCCTGGAAAGAAGGCTTTTCAAATGTATTATACTTCTTTATACAAGATTACTTGATCAGTTACAGGGAGGCCTTTCTCATCCCTCTTTCCCCACCCTTTTTCACTCCTGTGTTCACAATAGGAATTTTGGTTAAGGGGTGAAGTTGAAGAGAGGGAAGAATTTTTTTTAGTAGAAATTCTTGTGTAATTTGACATCAGCTACAGAGTTTGGTTTATACTTTGTGCTGCTCATTGTCTTGTGACAGTTTTCTTCTTGTGTCTTTTAGATTTCTCATGGGTAAAATACTGTAGAAAAACTGACATGGTGATCAGCTGTATCATATAGCATGAGGGTATCTGGTATGTTTCTAGTTTTTTCTATGGAAACACAGTTTACTACTTTTTAACTCAAGTAGTGGTGGTTGGTATATATCTATTACCAGGGTCCAGAGCAATCTGAGTTATTTTTTCTTAGCCTCTAACTTATACTGAAGCTCTTTTATGCTACAGAGCTGTTCTGAGGTGGTTCTTGTTCAACTGAAAATTTCTCTTGAAACTTGCTTATTATGGCATTTGTCTTAATGGTGGTTCTAGTGGCCATTTTGTTACCTTACTGCAAAATGATCAAATAATGTAGAAAACATGCATGCTGTTCTTTGTTTTTTTTCATTACTTGTATGCTTATGCACAGTGTGAGACTTCAATAAAATATCATGGTAGTCTTTGTAGTGACTTAGGGTTACTTTTTGTCTTGTCTAACACTGGCCATTATTGGTAAGTGTCCAGGTTGTGATATTCTAGAGAATACCCAAATCATTTTAAAATGTCACAGTGACACAGTATTTAAATACAAGACAAATAGAGAAGGTCAGTGTTGAGCACATCTAAAGCATTTGCTTTTAAATTAGTGTAAAATTTAAGATTCAGACCAGCCCTACGGCCTATATAAGTACTTCAGAAGAAATTGGAACTGATGTGAAACCTGTCTTGTGAAAGAGCTGAGGCTTTAAGCAAATACTTCTTTGAGTGCCAGACAAGGGCTGCTCAAGTCCTACCTTACCTATCTTCTCCCATTGAATTCCTCTGCAGAAGTACTCAGATGAAAGTGGCTCAAAAGGAACTCCATAACAAAATACTATTTTCAGCTCATTACAAAATTTGACGTGCACACAAACTCTCCCCTTTAATTAAAGAAATGCACAGTTCTCAGAGAATAATCAATTTTACTCAGATTTACAATAAAGACCATTTACAGCATTTCTGTGAAAAATAATGCCATTTTAAGACTGGCACAGATGTTTTCCATTATCAAAGAGGAAGCTCATGTAAACTTTTTTTTTTTTTTTGCCTCAAAGACTTCATAAAGTAATTCAAATTCTTTAAAAAAGTCTCTAAAAAGTCTACTTTACCCAGCACTACCAAATCAGCATGCAAGCAAAACATTTTAACCGAACCAGCAGTGCTCAAACTAACTTTAAAAAATAAAAATCACATTAAGAGAGAAGGTGGGAGTAACTGTAGCTACATAGAAAGTCCTTTGGGTGTTACCGTTCAATGAGCCTGAACTCGGCGAGCAATGGCAGGTGATCAGAGGAGTTATTTTCATTGGGAAGACCGTTAACAGTCCAGAGATCTTTCTCTGTTAGAAGTGCCAGCCTTCCAAGTAGCTTCAGACCTCCATGAAGAGAATCCTCCATTCCTAAGTGAAAACAGACAAAAACATTCAGTGTAGACTAAACTAAAAAGTAAAAATAAAATAAAATAAAATTAAATTAAATTAAAAAAAAATAGTTATAGATGGCATTCATACATTTTCAGAAAGAACAGAACATGACAGTCTGTGGTTTTATATGGAACAATAACCAAACAAGATGGTTTGGAATTCTTTCAATTTATTGCTGTTCCCACACAGAAGAACTTGCTCCCACAAGAGCTGCAATACTCAGGAGGACACAGCCCCTCCACTTTGCAGGAAGGGGAGCTGAGGTAATAAGGGAAAGGGATTTATTTGTCCATTGTATCTTCCCTGAAAAAAACCTCATACAATCCAGTCTTATTCCTTAGCACAGCAGCATGGCTGTACAGAGCTGACATTTGCAAAATTAAGAATCTCATGAGATTTACTGGTACACATAACATTTCTGTATCCTCAAGCATGCAGTTCTCCAGCAGGCAGACAATACTCTCTCTGCTGAGGATGAAAGCATTTTGGCATCTTCAGTCCTAATTGCTCATCATAAGAAATGGATCTTCCCCAGTGTTTCCTGTTAACTTTCCATCAGAGCCTTAAAACAAATCTTAAAAGTACCAACCCCTTCCCCCAAAGTAAAAGCATCACGTTGGTCATGGAAGAGGGGAAGATGAATGATAGCCTTTTACAACCTTATTATTATTACACTATATTTAAAATGTGTCCTCATTAAAAACAAACAAATGAAAAAACCACAAAGCCATCAGCAGCAGCAAGAAACTTTTTTTTACATTAAGCAATTCTGTTAAGAATGAGATCCTTTGTGTTGCATCAAACTTTTAGAGTTCTTGACCTGTCTTCCTGAGAGAGCAGACTATTCTGCACCCCTACCAGTTGGTTGGGCAGAGATACACAGGGAGCTGAGTGCTTTTCAGGAATGGCCCAAAACAGCAGCTGCAACTTTGACAAAATGTGTACGAAATGAATGTGTATGATCAGCTGATTTCAGAACTTCCAGCTGAACCTTTTAAGGGCTGGCTTACAAGTAGAACTATGTAAAGAATAACCCAGTAACTGCTAAATTCCTTGCAGATTTCAGGAGCTTCACCCCCTTTTGCAAACTGCTAGTTTACCAGGCCTCTGAAAACCTAGCAGCTGCTTACTGCTGCTTTGAAGGAAATCCTTCTTGCTGCAAAAAATGTCTCAGTGTCTTTACAGCACGTCTGCTCAGCTCTTGAGCCAAATGTATTATTTGGCAGCACCTGCACTTCTACAAAGCAGCAGTTCATTGCTACAGAGAGCATGGTTTGTATGCAGTGATTCATGCCAGCTCAGGGCATGCACTTTGGAAGCAACCAAATCAAATCCTGCAGGACCCAGGTAAGTATTAACTCCCTTTTCACAGAAACATTTCCAGAACACCAAATTAAATTCTTGGCTAAGCATACCATAAATTTTTAAATCACAGAGCACTCAGATTGCACAGAATTCAGGAGGAATTTAGAGACTCTTTTCTAGAGAAGCTTCGGTGCATTCACTCAATGAATGTTAATGACCTAAACCCAAAGTATGAGAGATGAAGGTGCAATTTTCATTTCAGTTACCAAGAACAATGTCAGTTCACAAAAATGAGTGGCAGTCTGCACTGGGAGCAGGAGTAGAATCCAGGTTTTTTCGCTGAGAGTTCTACAGAGCCATTTATCTGATGGCACTGCATTGTGCACGTGTGTCTGACAATGGCACAAAACACGCAGCTAACTGTACCATGAAA